TATCTTCTTATTTCATCGGCTGGTGCCAAGGGTGTTGAGAGTAGAACTGAACTTACAAAAATTTGGGTTTGTTTGTTTTTGTATAATGACCTTCTTCAGAAATTAGCCCCTTTTGATAAAATATCCAAAGTACAAAGCCTCACCATACTTACTACTAAGGAGGGTTCTGGCTGCACTTTTTCAAGACAAATTTCTTTTTTTTTCTTCTGTAAGTTGTTTCTTTTGTTTTTTCTTTTGTCAGCACTATGGCACAAGAGTTTCATTTTACTTGGATCTACCATCAGCACACAAGAAATCAAGGGATATGTTGCATTGGAAAGTCTGCTGTCAAGGACCTCTCCAAAGCACTAGAGAGCAAGGACGTCCGTTTAAGAACTGAGGTGTGCCTGATCCAGGTCACAGCATTTTTCAATTGCTTCCTATGCAGCTGAAAGATGGACAATGATTATGATGACAAAAGAAGAATCAGTGCCTTTTAATTGGGGCTTTGGAGAAGAATACTGACTATCCCAGAAACTGTCAAAGGAACAAAGAAGTCTGTCTTGAAGAATGTGCAGCCAGTTTTCTCCTTAGATGGAAAGATGATGATATTTTGTTTCACTTATTCTGGGCATATTGTGAACAGGGAACAGTCCTTGGGGAAAAAATCACACTGGGAAAGGTAAACAGTCAGAGAAAGAGAAGAAGACCCTCCCCAGGATGGATTGACACAGGAACTGTGACAATGGATTCAAGCATCTCAAGGATTGTGAGATTGCCACAGGGTAAGACGAAGTTCCTATTTGTTGTTCATAGTGTTGTTCTGAGACATACTTAATTGGAAAGCACCTAACAACAAAAACACAGTTCAAAGGCATCAATTCTTCTTCATTCTTTCTCACTCATTATCCAACTTTCATATGCATTTAAAACAATTAAAAACACTGTGGCCTAGGCCAGGTGTATCTTAGTTTTGATATGACATCTTTGCTCTTTAACACTTTAAAGAGGTCAATGACAACAAGTTTGCCAATGCAACATACATCTGATTTCTTGATTGCTGCATCCATGGATAATGATTATGGATTCAAGAAAAATGAAATCATGGAGAACTTCAATCTTTTCTCCATTTATCATGATACTGTTGATTAGAAGACACAGGATGATTTATTTTCCTTTATGATGAGGTATAATCCACACCCAAAGCTATATAGTCTTTGAGCTTCAGCAGTAAGTGCTTCAAGTCTTTTCCATTTGCAGCAAAGTTGTGTCATCTGTGTTTTGTTGGTTGTTGATGAATCTTCTTCCAATCCTTTGTGATATTCTACTCCAGATAGTCCAGTTTCACAGATTATTTACTCATATTATTGGAATAGATACGGTGCAAGTATACAATACTGACATATACCTTGCTGATTTCAAGCTATTCAGTGTTCCCTTGTTGTCTTTTAACAAAAAAATCTTAATCTGTAATTAAGTTCACACAATTAGGTATTCTGGAATCATTCAAATAATTCAAAATATGGCTTTTGTTATGATCCACAGAGTCATATATCTTTGCATAGTCAATAAAACATAGGTAAACATCTTTCTGAGATTCTCTGGTTTCAGTCAAGATCTATCTGACATCAACGATGATATCCCTCATCCTACGTCCTCCTTCCAGGTTCATTTTGCACAAGTTGAAACTGAGGTTTCAAGAAGACAAATGTCTAAAATTACAAAGCAAATGAGTGCCCTGATCACAGACTATGTGGACTTACCATTTTGCCAAGGTCCAAGTGGTTGCCAAAGCCAGTTTTCAAACATTTCTTTTCAACGGAAAACAGATTCCCCCTCTGACACCTGCAGAACCTCCTCTCAAAGTTATCAAAGTTATAAATTAGTCCTTTTTGGCAGTGATTTATTTCAGATTAAGGACCCACAGTTGTACAGTGGTTAAGTGCTCAGATTATAACTGAAAGTTTGGAGTTCACTCCCATGCCTGCTAATCTACAGGATAAAGTATTGGCACTCTGCTTCTATAAAGCTTACAATCCAAAACATCCTAAAAGGCAGTTCTCCTCAGTCACAGAAGGTTTCTACGAGTAAGAATCAACTTGGCAGCTCTCTAATAAGAACAATATTCTTTGACTCCATTCTAGAGGATACAGACTTTGTGAACTAACTAGAGGACCTAGAATCATTGAAACCCTAGAAATAGAAGGAAGAAAATACTCTTTTGGGTTAGCAATGCAACTATACCATCAGAACTCCAAAAAAAAGTTTTTTGGAATGTATATGTTTATAAATTAGAAATTACCTGGGTTTATGATTTAGACAAATGGGTTTGGCATCAGCCCACAATGTTTCCCCAAACTCAACACACTCTGTGGTTCATAAGATAAAATTGTTCCATGGCTATGGAAAAGGACTGTTGGATGAGTAACCAGATAATAATGAGACATGTTCGTGTGTGTGTGTGTGTGTGTGTAAAAGCATGCAATATTTATTTATTGTGTAGGAGAGAGGTGGTGTTGCTCTACCTGTTTATAGCATTGAGTAAATAAACTGCTGTGCAGGATGTAGACAATCCTTAGGTGAATTCTCATCTGGTCATTTCACTAGTCAATCCACTTAATTCTCATTTGTTCATTTATTGGATATTTATTTAGACCTATTATATTGTTTCTCCCCCAGCCCAACTCACAGAAACACACAGAGGTTTGAGAATGAAAAGGAAGTGTTAGAATCATGAAGTCCAATTCCAGAAGTAAAAAAGGAAAGAGTCTGCATGTTGAGTAGTCTAAGGCAAAACAACGTGGGTAATCAGGTAAAGAGAGCAAAGCCAAGTTTGTTATAAACTCCTAACTTACTAGCTGCGTGACTTTGGGCACTTGCAGAACCTGTTGTAGCTTTAATTTCCTTATCTTTGAAGAAAATTATAAAACATCATCTACCTATCTGCCCAGTGCAGGTCTGTGCTGCTCAGTGGTGAGTGACGGCTGTGTGTATTCAGTAGACATCTCCATGTACTAATGACTGTCTGCAAAGGACCATCAAAGCAGCCATCCTGGGTATTAATATGTATCTGTCCTCCTCATGTATAAGTTTTAACAGTTAGATTGTTACTCTATAGTGGACATCCCATAAGAGCCAAAAAAATTCAATCCATCAGTTGCCAAGAGTTTCAGCCACTGAGGGCTTACGGCTGAGTTGATCCCCAGGAATTATTCTCAGCCAAAGGGAGCTTCCTCTCCTCCTCCCAGAGACAATCTGCGTCTACCCAATGCCTGAATGGTCAGGGTTGATACCCTTGTTCATTATGGGACATCGCTGGAGAGCTACCCCAACTTTCTTAGCTTCTGGAGGGGCCAGCTGAGGCCTGGCATGTAACTACATCACATTTCAACTCTACTCATGTCCAAGCCTATTTCTCTCACTAACTCATAGGTGCTGCTCCTGAGGGACTGTGGTGTCAAGGGTTTATTGTCAAATTACTTTCCTAGCCATTGACTTTTATTTTGCCACACAAATGGGTAGGAATTTGCAAATAGGGCATGTTAATCTATACACAAGGGTAGTCTCAGTGTTAAGTTGAGTGGATTCAGCAGCAGAATTCAGGAATATCACCACCAGTGAAGAAGTAGCAGTGAATACAGTGTGTATCGTTCAAGGCCAAAGATTCCTGACCAGGCCTACAGGAGAAGCAGCAACAACCACAGCAGAGAACCAGAGACCTGACATGAGACAGAGCTGACCTTGGGATTGCTACCCCCCAGAATAAGAGAGAGGAGCCTTTTTCCAAATTTGTTGGAGTACTAGAGGAAGATGCCTTAATTGACAAGACTAAGAGAGCTTTGTAAGCCTAGCTTAGAGCTGCGAGGCTAAAGGCTGAGGAGCCTGCAAGCACACTTCAGAAATTGTCCTGACTGAAAGATTTCATCCTGTTGCCAGCCTTAGTTGTAACTTGTTAACTTCCATAATAAACCCTTTGATTGTGAGTTTGGTTCTGCGTGCTCTGCAAATCCATTCTGATGGATTTCAAACCTAGAAGGGCACGTAGAATTGATGCTGGAATTAATAGAAAGAGGTACAGGAGTGTGAGGGGGTGTGCCTGACCTCATGGGAATTGGTTTCTATTGTTGATATTGTTGGTAGGAGTAGTTCACCCTTGAGGAATTAGTAGAGGTCAGACTCAGCCATCTCTACATATCCTTGCTCTTTCTTAGGGACTCTCCAATGATCCCTACACCTATATTTGTTTCAGAGCCGGCTTCTGGGAAATACGACTTACAACACCTCCAAGGAGCCTTATTCTTTACATTTTCAATATTTAAATGCAGCTTCAAAACAACAAGTCATGTGTAGACAAGGATTCATCCCAGAGCCATATTCCGTCCCCCAGTCCAGATCAGTCTAACCAAGGAAAACTTTCCTCACTTGAAGGATCATCCTTCCCAAGACTCACACTCAGAAATATACAAAAGGCCTTTTGCTAGGGACAGATGTAAATCTGACCAGTCCTTCCTTCTCCAGGGAGAGGTTATAGTTCATGAGATCATGAAGGGCATTGGGAGAAGGAAAGATCTGAAAAAGAGCTTCTGTATTACTAGCAATAGGGCTAAGTAGAATGAGACAAGGCAATCTTTCCCTGCACACCCAAAGTTGGAAGTGTAATTCTACCAGTCTAAGAATGAAGCAGAGGTCACTGGAGCTTCCACTTCTTCCCACAGAACATCAACCTCCATCCTCAGGCACCACTCAGAACCAAGAGAATTCATTTCACCCACATGCACTTGTATTCCATCCTTAAACATAGACAGAATGAAGAATTGCATTAAAGACATAGTTTACCAAACTCGAACCTCAGTTGATTTACAGAAAGAAAGGAGTCCATGGAGACCTAACACTGAACAGTAAATGAGACCCAAAGAAGTGAGTCTATTGCTCTCTCTATGGAAGGCCTGACATCTGGTGTTCTCGGTCTCTTTAATTACACAAGTCACACTCTTACTATCCCCAGGCTGGGCTGCACCTACCTTCTGTGCTTCCGCAGAGGAGATGTTGCAGTAGTTGTGGGGAGGGGATGCCCGCTTACACCGCTGTTCACTGCTCAGGGCCCAGGAGTTGGCAAAGTCATAGGGGTCTGAGGTCAAGAGCCCTGGAGAACAAAGTTTCAGGAACATTATGGCTCAATTATAGCTATCCCAGAATAGCTGAGTGAAAATTATGCCTGTCATTAAGTGTGTCATATTCTATTACATTAGAACACACACATGTGAGTGGGGAGTGCCTTTTGTACAGTGCTCAAAATAATACCACAAGGACATGGAGCTTTGGAAATGAGCAAATGTTTGGTGAATTGTGGCTGAATAGATAGAGAAAAATAAGATGACGTGGAAAATTAATGAAAAAGATGTTGTCCACTCTCGTCTCTCCACACTTTGCATACCTTTCTAGCTGTGTGTGTAACTTTCTCCATTCATCTTATTGTCTTAGTTATCTCCACTCATTCTTCAAAATTCAGCTCAAAAAACCTCTTCCTCCAAGAAGCCTGACTGGGCCAGCTATACTGACTTTTTACATGTTTGAATTATGACCAATTACACTGTCAAAAGAATAAACAGGTCTGTCCTGGGAAGGGTGAAACCAACTTGCTCTCTGAAAGCAAGGATTTTGAAACTCTATCTCACATACTTTGAGCATATTTCCAGGAAGGACCAGTCCTTGGAGAAGGACATCATGATTGGAAGGGAGAAGGACTATCACAGGACAGGAAGACCCCGGATGAGATGGATTGACTCAATGACTGGGGTAAAAGGGGTAAGTGTGTCAGAGACAGTGAGGTTGACTAAGGCTAAGACAGAGTTCAGAGCTATTGTGTATAGGACCACTATGAGTCTCAGGCTACTCAATGGCACATAACAACACTTACAACTGTCTGCTCTTTGGTTTGTTGTTTAGGAGTGAGAGAATTACTTAATGTATGTAAAACTAAAGAAACAAAAAGCTCTGATGTTGAAGATGTAAGTTTATATGTAATATTCCCAAACTCCAAAGTCAAAGTATTTATACTATATGGTAATAATATGGAAATGGGGGGGTATAGAGGTATTGGCTTATAACAGAACTGATTTAGTTCCCTTCATTACTCTGTCTTATGTTGAGGACCACCTTACCCCTCCTCCCTCACCCTAGTCTGGATTGGGTGTACACTTTCTCTGTGCTTCAGCCTCTTGGACATACCTACATTAAAGCTCTCATCGGGTTGGGTACTAACATTCTTTTTGCCTATATCTTCAACCCTCCTTTACTGTGAGCTTCTTAATTCAGGGCTCAGTGTTTGTGTTCATCCTCCAAATGCTCACAGATTCTGTGTTTAGTATTCTAAGTAGTCATGCTATTGTCATCCACCCACAGCCAACTGTGGAGGGCTTCATGGCCCCACACAAACAAAAGCAGCAGATGCCATTGATTCCAACTTATTATGATCTAATTGAATGAGAACTGTGCTCCATAGAGTTTTCAATGGCTATTTCCCTCAAGTAGATCGTTAGGTCTTTTTTTTTTTTTTAAGTTTTTCCACTTTTTTCCCCCAATTATTAATTTTAATGAAAGTTTATTTAGACTTTGGATTTCTGTTAGGTCTTTTTACTGAGGTACATATGGCTGGTCTCAAACCTCCAGCCTATAGTTAAGAAGCAAATACATTAAACATTTATACCATCTGAGATCTTCATGGATCGCCACGATATAGTACAAAGTAGTTCCCTAATATCACTGTTGAATTCTCATTACAAAGAAAATTCAGAGCATTAGGATAAGAAACTCATGAAGAAGTCTTAGAAGAGTAAAGCATTAAAGTCAAGTCAGTCCTAGAAGATTAACACATATTTTAGGATAAAATGATACACTTGGTGTAGGAAGCCAGCTATTACTGCGGGAAAGAAAAGAAATAAGGTCTTGGAAGAGTAATCAGCTGGCACCTGGAGGTAGTAGGCAGGGGGAAAAAAACCTGTTCCTCCCCTATAATGATGCATTTACTTACTAATTCTCAGAACTTGTGAATATTATTTTATGACAAAGATGTGGTTAAGTTAAGGATCTTTAGAGGAAGTGCTTGTCCTAGATTATCTGTGTAAGCCTTAAACGCAATCACACATATCCTTATAGCTCAGCGCAGGGAGAAATGAGACACACCAAGGAAGAGGTGATGTGAAGATGCAAGCAGAGATTGGAGAAATGAAAGGACAGCCCAAGGAAGGAAGGCTAGCAGAGGCCAAGGGCCAAGTTCTCCTTTAGAGTCTATGGAAGGAGTTCAATCCTAACACTGACTTCTGGCCTCCAGAATTGTAATCAAATAAATTCCTGTTCTTTTAAGTCAGGTTTTCAGGAGGTTATAAATTGCCGGGAGGAGATTGCCTTTGTTTTCTTCCTCTGAACTGCTGGTGGATCCAAATCATCAGCGAGGCACTGTCTGGCTTAGCAGCATAACTCTCTGGGGATCATGCCACCAGCATTTTTGTTTATTTGTTTTTGAGAAATGTGTGGTTATTTGTTGTGGCAACTCGGGGAAACTAATGTATGAAGGAAACCAAAGGAAAGCCTTCCTCAAGTTCTGGAGTTTCTACTGTGTACCAGGCATTCTGATCTTTGAAAGGCACACATCCATCCTGATTTTGAACCATGGAATATCGATCTCCTTTTTCCGTTCAAAGGACTACTTCTTTGTTCTTGAACAGGTTCCACATGAAAACAATTAAGTGTTCTGGGATTCTCATTCTTCCCAATGTTATCTCTAATGTATTATGACCCACACAGCCAAATGTCTTTGCATAGTCAATAAAACACAATTGAATGTCTATCTTTTGGTCTCTATTGTCAATTAAGTTCCATCTGACATCAGCCATGATCTTAATTTCATGACCTTCTTGAATCCAGCTTGAATTTCTGGAAGTTTTCTGCTCCAGAGTTGCTTCAGTTGTTTTTAAATGGTTTTTAGCAATATTTTATTTATGCCCGATATTAATAATTTTGTTCTGCATCCTCTTGGATCTTTTCTTTTTAATGGGCATAAATATGTATCTTTTCTAGTCGATATATGAAACCTGGACTTAAACCAAGAAACTGTTGTCCAAACAGAGCAAGGGAAGTAAGGAAATACTACATGATTTAAAACCAAGAAAGATATGCATCAGGGTTGTATCCTTTCTCTGAACCCACTCAATCTGTATGCTGAGCAAAACAGTTTGGTGGGTGGAGGGAGGGAAAGAAGGAAATGGGAAGGATCCAGGGCGGACCTGAAAAGATTGGGTAATGATGGGTAAGGTCCAATGGTGACTGATTTTATAAAACATAATGCATGGGAATTATTCTAGGAAATACAATATGAATGAAGAATAGTGTGAAACACTATATGTGTATGTGTGTGTGTGTATGTATAGACATATAGACAGACATACATATATGTATAAACTTTGTGAGCAAAGTAATATAAAAACAAACGAGCAAAAATGCAAACTGGAAACTGGGTGTTATGGAGGAAAATGTGCAACAATGAATGAAAAAATTCCACTTTTCTGTAAGCTTTCATTAAATTCACAATTTTTTTTGAAAAGCTAGATTCTATGAAGAAGAATGTGGTATCAGGATAGGAGGAAGACTCATCATATGCAGATCACTCAACCTTGCTTGCAGAAAATTAGGACTTGAAACACTGCAGAAGATTTAAAAAAGTACAGCCTTCAGTATGGATTACATTTCAATATAAGAAGATAAAAATCTGCACCACTAGACCAATGGGAAATATCATGACAGTGGAGAAAATATTGAAGTTGTCAACTATTTCATCTTACTTGAATCCACAATCAATACCCTTCACACCAGCAGTCAGGAGATCAGGAGACATAGTGCATTAGACAAGTCTGCTGTCAGGGACCTCTCCAAAGTGCTGAGGAGCAATGATGTCAGTTTGAAGGCAAACATACTCCTGATTCAGGCCATGGGCTTTTCAATCACTTGCTATGCATTAGAGAACTGGACAATGAATAAGGATTACAGAAGAAGAAATGATGCCATTGAGTTGTGATGTTGGAGAAGAGTGCTGAATATCCCATGGACTGCCAAAAGAACAAACAGATATATCTCAAAGAAAGTGCAGCCAGAATGTTCCTTGGGGGCATGGATGACAAAGTTTTGTCTCACATACTTGGGCATGTTGCCAGTAAAGGCTATTTCTTGAAGAAGAATATCATGCTTAATCATACTTGGAAAGGTGGAGGGAAAGAGAGGAAGACCTTCAATGAGATGGATTGGCACAATGGCTGTGGCAGTGGGCTCAAGTGTTATCAGCGATGGTGAGGGTGGACATATGAGCATGTCCAGGGCTGCATTTATTTGTTAAACTTCAGTTAATACTCTGTCAATTCCTGGAGCCTCTGTTTTTGCCAATGCCTTCAGTGAGGATTGCCTTTCTTCCTTTAGTCCTATTGGGTTTTTATCATTAAGTGCTTCCTGAAATGGTTCAGTGCTGATCAATTCTTTCTGGTATAATGATTCTGTGTATTGCTTTTCTCTTCTTTTGATGAACATTTCTTGGTCATATGATCCTTCAGTATTACAACTTGAAGTATGAAAAATATTTTTCCAGTTCTTTTAATTTGATAAATACTGAGAGTGCACTTCTCTTTGGGTTTTCTAACTCCATTTCTTTGCATGTTCTATCCTAAATACTTTGTTATCTCGAGCTGCCCTTTGAATTCTTCTGATCAATATTTTTGTTTCATCATTTCTTCCATTTGCTTTAGCTTCTCTGTGTTCAAGAGCAAGCTTCAGAATCTCTTCTGACATCCATTTTGTTCTTTCCTTCTGGTTTTGATAACCTTATACCCACTTCATGTATTATATCCTTGTTGCTATTCTACAACTTGTCTGGTCTCCAGTCACTAGTGTTTAATGAACCAAACTGTTTCTGAAATTTTTATTGTATTATTTTTATGTGTACCATCAATGAAATGGTTCTTAAATTCAGATTGGATAAATGCAAGGTCATATTTTGGCTTTTTGAACTTATCTTTTTCTTCAGCTTTAATTTGAACTTGCAAATGAGTAATTGATGATCCACACCTAGGCCAGGCCTGGTCTTGTTCCAACTGCTGACAT